CAGCGAACGCGCTAGCTGCCCCCCATCGGTGGCGTAAGGATGTGCCACGATGAATAACAGCTTACCGAAATAATGAACAGCAGCAGCAGCGAAAAAAAAAAGACCATGAAAAATGCGCGAGTCAACTGAAACTAAACTTCGAGAGTACTTCGCTAGAATACAGTTTTTAATGATTTTTGGCTAATTCTTGCACTACCTATCGCTCCCCGTTTTTTACAAAATTCTGCTGATCTTAATAGTACCGAAAATGTGGAAGAAATTTTATGTACATAAACATACAGCATCCCAATTTACAGAATTCGATACTAGGAAAAACTGCCCGATTGGTAACTTCAATTTTGCCCATGGGTAGCTGCTTTTAGAAGTGTCGTCACTCCTCCATCTCCGTCTGTCTTTTCCCCTTACGGATAATAAGTTATAAAGCAAATGTGATTACCAACAAAACAATTTCTAACTTTTTTCTTCGATTCACATTCTCCGAACAAGGTTTTGTACCAAGCCTTCCCATCTTCTTCGCCTCTCCCCTTCCCCACTTCCCCCGCCCTCCTCCCCCGAAAAAAAAGGAGCAAAACTCTCCGCAAAATCCAGTATCATGATAAATCTATTCGCTAGGTATGAAGCAGTTTTTTGAACTAAACATAACCATTAGCCGCGCATTTAACGTATAATACTTTCAGTTTCAAAACAATCAAAAGCGACTTTTGCTCCAGGAATTCCGGAAAATCCATCTCGACATCTTAGCCCATCAAGGAAACCACACGTAAAATGGAGTTTAACTGCATAGAAAGGGAGGACAGGAGGAATAAAATCCACAGTGGAACTGCAAATGACGAACAAAATCATCTCGTGCAATATAACACAGCGAGTTTGATGGCTATTCATATCAGCAAAAAATTCACAGCGGGTAATCTACGCATCTAGCTAAAGATGTAGGTATTGCACGGTTCTACAAAAAAGCCGATGCAGGTTTAGGGCAGAAAGCAACACAAATTATGATCGCGGAGACTTCAGTGCCAAAATCCGATGCAAAATTTGGCCGGAAAAACTACTGGACCCTTTTATGAGCGTAAACAAAAATGTAAAGGAAAGAGACTATTTTCAAATCTCTACACAGTGAATTCATTATTCGAGAAATATTCTAGGAAATGCAGGACTTGGTAAAAAAACAGATTTCGAAATGAAACCGAATACAAGTGCAAAATTATTAGTTGTTCCCCACACTATGATGATTGCCAAAAACGAAACTGATGCCCAAAATGAAGAATGGGTTGTTCGCAAAAAAGTCCTCTATCATGACAAGCTAAAGCAGTTCGCCTATCCCTCCCCTCGGGCCCATCCAACTTTTTTTGCAATAATATTCCAGTTTTTAATGGCTTTTTCAAGCCCCTCCCCCCCCTCCCCAAAAACTCAGGCATTACTGCAGACGGTACGTACGCATAAAACAGCTTCTTTCAGAAACTTAGATGCAAAGCCACTCAGAAGACGAAAAAAAATACTGTCTAGGCCAAGATATCCTTGCTGTTCTTCAAAAGAATAGGGGCTGCGGATAAAACGAATCGGGGGTACAAATGATAGCGATTATATTAAGACTCATACGCCAGGAAAAAAGGGCTAGTCGTGTGGAAGAAAGAAATGAGATATAACAGATCGACAAAGTGGATTACTGAACGGCTCCCCATGAACAAAAAATACAGGGAAGGTCGCTAACGTTGGTTAGAACAGCTATACAGAGATTTGTAAATCTCAGAGCCCAAGACGGGGAAAATGGGAAATTATCAACTACATCAAATGGCGAAACAAAGCGTGATGATAAAACAGCAATCGGTCCTAATCGATGTATCAAAATAGTTTTCAAAAAAATTTAGGTAGTGGTTTTACTTTATAAAAAAATTGACCTCAAAACCCACCCCTTAGACTAATGGCATCAGCCATGATGAGAAAATTCCCAACCGGCCTTTTTACGTACAATCTCCCGCTCGAGATTAAGGCACACATTCACCTCCTTAGCAAAATACCATATAATTCTTACTAATTCCTCGTGTACAAAAGCTCATGATACCCATTTATCTTGATGCTATCAAATACATTTTTTTGTAA